ACATACATTGGCTTTCGACCCAAGGTCGTTCTGCTCTCCCATTTCAGCCTTCAACATAAAGTTGGTCTTCCCCAACTATCTTGACCTTCAACATAAAGTCGGATCGTCCTCAACTCGCCACAAGATTTGTCATCATATATATAATAAAAAATAATCAACAACAATCCATAAACACATGTAACTGTCTAGACTTTTCTACTTATCAAACAATTCACTACAACATAACACCGTCCTAACATACAAGGATACATAGTGTAGTGTAAATTGTAGTGGGAAAACTCACCTGAAACACAAGATGAACGATCAACACTCAGCGACTCGCTAAACAACTATAAGAAACTGCTAACCTATTAAAGGTCAAACCTCAGTCTATTACTTGAAATCCCTAAGTTTGACCAAAAGTCAAATTGGTCAAAAATTCAATGGTCAAGGTCAACGGTCAGACCACCACACCGTGGCCATCCACATGGCTACGTCATGGCGACTAGACGATTGAACAGACGTGGCCAAGACCCACCTCCACATCGTGTCGAACCGCTCATCACACCGTGGTAAGCGTCTAAAACAACTTAATTGATTAAGCCATTAACCTTTAATCTGAAGAGCTCTAAATCTTAGATTTGATTCCTCTAAGGGGTTAATGGATGAAGTTTCCAACTTTATCCATTTGAACATCACAATGAGCCAAGATATATAACCCTAAGCTCAAGGTTTACCCAAGAGGGTTCATCCAAGTACATGATTTAAAAAGGAAGCTTGTAGACTCATCTTTCTAACATCAACCAAGTCTAGAAGCAACATAATGCAACCACAAGGTTTTGTAGTTCCCCAAACTCCAAGAACACACAAATATGGGACAAAAACGCTCATAAAATGATATAAACTAGATTTCATGAATCGATGGTCAAATTAGAAGCTTTATATATTCTAATGACCATAACTAAAAGGAAGATGATAAATCTAAGTTGGAACAAAGCTATCAAGCAACAAGTTGGACTTCTTATTCTTTCAATCCTTCACAAAAGAAGCTCAAACACTCAAAATACACATATAGGGGCTAAGGTTTGAGATGGGATCATTCATAGAGGATAGGGCTACCAAATGACGTAATCATAAAAGTTAGAGCCCTTAAATAGGGCTCAAGGCCAGAGGCCTAGGGTTTTGATCCTTAGTCGCCAGTGGTAAGGACTTGAGCGTGTCGCCACTTAGTGATGTGTCCTGCGGAGTGTCCCAGGCCTTACCGCATTGTGGTGTTAGGAAATCCTAAAATTCTCAACTTACAAAATAAAAGAGTTGTACCTAGAATACAAATGTTACATTTTCCTTATATCAATGCTTCGTATGAGATATGTAATTTTCCGAGCTGGTTTTAAATATGAAAAATTATATTTCATACTAAGTAATTTTCCTTTTATTTAAATAAATATAACCTTTTTTTCTATGTTTGATTTTTTATTTTTGATTTATTTTAATCTATATAATGTTTTAGTTTAATGAAAATTTAGTGGTTTTATTTCCTTTAGTTAGTTAAAAAAAATTTAATTTATTTAATTAAAAAATAAAAATTAAATTATTTTGAAGATGTGATATGTTGGATATACCAGGTGCAAAGTGATGCGGTACTAACATGATTTGGCAATGTAACAACATATTTTTAGTGGTTAAATAATACTTATACCCTATGACCTAAGAAAAATAAACCCAAACCATAAAACTTAAAGTGAGTACTTTTGGTTTTGGATATGATTTGAAATATTTATTTTCAACCAGTAGCAAGAACCACACTAAAATATTTAGAGTAAATTATATTGATGGTATGTATGATTTGGGGTAATTTGTATATTTGGTCTCTAACTTAGACAAATCCCGTAATATGTTTTCTTTGCATCATTGGTCATTATCAAACTTAAAATGACTATTTTTAAGTCATTTTAAGATTTATCATACTTAAAACGACTTAAAATGTATATTTTTATTTTGTTAATTCTTTTTTATTATTATTTCAATTATTTCTAAATAAAGCAAACTGTTCAAAACGGGACCCACCGGTTCTCCTCACCTTAATCCTCTTCCCGTTCCCAACACCATTCATGTCACCCTCTTTGATCATAGATCCAGTTCCTTGGCACCAACTCTGCCATAGATCTAGTACCATATAAATCACACACCCCAAACTCAACACAAATCCAACCATAAATCGACCTAACGTTCAACAATACTTCTGAAATAAATCTAAAATCGAACATGTACCTCAAATCAAAAACCAAAATCGTTGATACAAAAATCACAGATGCAAAAATCCCAAATACAATCCTAGGTGAATTGACTCAAGAGACAAGATCATGTCATTCAGACTCAATAGACTGACCGATAATTAGAAACATTATAACAAAAAGATTTAAGATTTAACGATGTAACGATGTAACGAAGGCGACTTAGGATTTAAAGCAACCACATCTAATATTCTCCCTTTGATTTTTCCGTTTTAGTGGATCGGAGGGGTCCAACTTGAAGCTTTCCAGTCGTTCCCCATCCACCCCGACACAATTCGAAGTTTAGGGAGTTATTATCAAAAGTGAACCAAGACAAATATATTCCATTGACACATTTTATTTTTCTCACCGCCATATGAACTTTCCCGTTCCCGATCTCCGCATATGTTTCCACGTTTACAAAGGTAGGGTTGGATGGAACGGCCATGTAGTTTAGCTCTTTCTGCCTAGGTTATAGATTCATGTAACACCATATTTACAAAGGGATAAATGATCTGTTTTTGCTCCCAATTAAAAGAAGATAATAAGATATCATTCAAAAAAGATATTCCGTATAGTGTTACATAAAACATTGACAATGAGATTAAATATCGAAAGACTTTATATTTTCAAAGTAGTTTAAAAATTTTAATGTTGATGCTGCTACAATTAAGTTGGGTTCTATTCTGATAATCTTGGAAAACATTAATAAAAACAAGTAAAGGAAAACACTTAGTGAGCCTACACATAACCCACCCATTATATTAATCATAAACCTCTAAATAGTACATAGGTTCACACAACATATGAATCCTATTATATACTAAACACATTAAAGAGGATTGATTACACATTCGTATCATGATAAGGGAAAACTAATCACACCATTGTTGTGATTGTCTTACCTCTAGCTGATTCAGAATATACCCAGTTAGTTCATCCCTTTCAAATATATATATATATATATATATATATATATATATATATATATATATATATATATATATATATATATATATATGAAGACTGGTCACACTAGCGTCACGACCACTAATGGATTTCGTGAAGGATATCCTCGGTTAGTCAATCCCTCTAACTTATATATATATATATATATATATATATATATATATATATATATATATATATATATATATATATATATATTGATCACACTAGAATGTTGATCGTTCCCCCTTTAACTAATTATGCGAAACATATCCTCATTTAATCTATTCCTTAAATCTATTCCACTCCACTGAAGAGGGTATCCATGGAAAATAATTAACATAAACAATCAAAACTAACATAATATATAAGTTAGTGTAACTCACTTGAAAAATACTTGAACATGTAACTACAATTCAACTGGCAAGCAGGCACACCAAGCACGTACTAACATATAGTATTATTTCTAATTAATAATAATGAAATCTAGTAACTAATAGTTAGATACTTCAGTAATCCCATTTATACTTTCTTAATAGCGAGCATGGGTATATTTTATATCGAATTATCCTTATACGAAAGTATAACTTACTCGACTGACTAATGAATTGGAAACCAACAAATGTAACCTCGACACTTAATCCTTTTCTTGTCAAACTAATCTAATGCTTTAGCGGTTCAACAACGAGCTCAAGAACGAGAAATCAAATCACGATCGAGAGAGAGAGAAAAGTGTGAGTTGAAAAGTGAGATTTTGGGCCCTATTTATAGGCTAATTTACCATACGCAGAGCTGGACACGTCGCATCCAAGTGGCACTCCCTAAGCCTGTCATGTGTCCCTCATCTGCTAACTCGTCTCCCATGAGCATGACACATAGACACACCACGTACGCCTAGAACACGATTCGTGCATATATATGGCAAATTTCAACCTTATCTTCATTTGGTCATAACTTTCACATACAAACTTCGCTTTTGACATTTTTTTATACACATAATCGTTTCTAGGTGAATTACAACTTCCCTTTAGATTACATTTGCTAAAATGTAATATATTTTCACTTTCAATTTTATAAACAAACGTTTATACTCTATTATCTTTAAAAGTGAAAACGAGCTGTTACAGTTTACCATGGTCTGACATTTTAAATCTTAGATTAAACATGTGGTGAAGAAATCACAATTTAAAAATTGTTGGTTGACGTTGTTGCTGAACGTTGGGTCCTACACAAGGTTGTTTGTTCTTGTTGGCTTTGGTGCAATGAACTTGAGGTGGGTTATGGTATCGCCGGAGACTATGGTTGGGCAAAGGACGTCGATTTCGAGTAAGATGGTGTTACTGGTTGAGAGGAGAAGAACGACAGATGATGGTTTGATGGTTCGGTTGTTTAGGGTAAAAGGGAGAAGATGATTGGAAATCTCTTTAGAAGGTAACCATGGGTTTATTTTATTTTATTTTCTAATTACATTAAAAATAATAATTAAATAACATAAAAAAATAACTAACACAAAATAATCTTTTTATATTTGGTGGGTACTAACGTAAAAAATATACTATTAAAATTGTCGGCATTAATAAAAAAAAATTGTAGACTAAAAACCATCGCTTCTAATTTACTCAAATATATATAAGCATTTTATTTGGCATGAATCCAGAATCCATTTGACCTGGCCTCGAACTCTACTTAGTCTGACTACGTGTGATTTGGGTTTGAACTCAGTTGACTTAATTACAAATATAAACAGCATACATCTCGACCCTTCATATCATTCTGACACAAAAAGGAAAGAGAGTGATCATGGAGGAAGGGCTGTTGTCGACTGCAAAGCAACCACGTCGGAGATGGAAGGTTATATTGGCCGAGGAGGTGAAGAAAACGTCTTACATCGCCTTGCCAATGGTGGTGGTGACGCTGTCGCAAAACCTTCTGCGGGTGGCCTCCATGTCAATGGTTGGTCATCTTGGTGAACTTGAACTCGCCGGCACCGCCGTTGCTACTTCCCTCACAAACGTCACTGGCTTCAGCCTCCTTGTAAGTCCTAATGCCTCATTTCCTTAAAAGAATCTAAAAAACTATACTAAAAACGATTTTTTTTTTCTTTCTTTCCCGCTCTTGTTCGTTGGCGCGTTTGATAAATATATGAAATGCGATCTTAATTTATAAGCTTTAAGTTACTAAGAATTAAGATTAAGTTTCAGCAACTTACACAACTCTTCAGTTTAATGTTGAAATAAAGTAAGGAAACTAAAAAAAGATAAGTTGAATCTTTCGAGGTCCAATTGTATTTAATAGATGTGGAAAACTAATAAATATCCTACAAATAATTGATGGTATTGATATATAATCATTAATTAATTATTACTAGCATTTATTAGAGCTGACTTCACTATACCAAAATATATAAAAGAAAAAATTAGAAAAAAAAAAACAATATTAACATGTATATTATCGACGACATACTATAAATGTTTTGAACTTGCTTAGGATCGCCTCTTGGATAATAAATCTTGAACTAACAATACATTAAACATGTAAGATTTTGAATCATATTCATTCCATATAAAATTTTATATCTCAAATTCTCAACTACTAATGGTGTTGAATCATGAAACGAAAAATATTTTTTTAAGAACGTAAAACTTTAGTACGTATTCACTGAACAAATAATAATTAGAGTAAATTACACAAATGGTCCCTAGGTTTGGGTTAATTTACACGTTTGGTCTCTAACTTAATTTTTTAACTCGGAAGATCCCTACTGTTTGCTTTTGTTACACGTTTGGTCCTTACTGTTTGTTTTTATCATGCGTTTGGTTCCTGTCTTACCTAAAAATACTATTATTTAAATAGAAAAAATTAGTCGGAGAGGTAAAATATGGTGAATGGGGTGGGGTTGGGGGTGTGTTTATTTAAATAAATTACAAAAATCAAAAGCAAAATAGTCTTTTTAGGTAAGACAGGGACCAAGAGCGTAACAAAAACAAACAGTAGGGACCTTCCGAGTTAAAAAAATAAGTTAGGGATCAAACGCGTAAATTACACTAAACCATAGGGACCATTCGTGTAATTTACTCTAATAATTATGGGAAAATTTTAGAAAAAAGAATCACACTTAAATAGTTTTGATCGGTCCAAAACGGATTCGGTTATAGCAACAAGCCACATTTGATACATTTGTTGGTATGTTTGTTGATTTATCAAGCTACTCGAGTACTTGTTATACTTATACTCCGTATCTTATAATCCAATACTTTAGAATCACATCACTCCCCACCTAATACTCGAGTACTTGTTATATTTATACTACATATTTCATAATCAACTACTTTAGAATCACATCACTCCCAACGTACCTTTCTAATTTATTCTAATAAATGAATTTTTTATTTCCACTTGTCACTTTCATTTAATTTACCAAATATCACTTTGTTGTAATTTTGAGTTAATTTTTTTCATATGTTATTTTGTAAGTTTTTCTATTTTATTAAATTTCACATAGTATTTTAATGTAATAATTACAATAAATATAATAATAATTGAATATCAATTTTATTAATGAACTTATCTTTTAATTTCAAAATTCTCATAATTAAAGCTTATTAATTTTATTTTGTTTATTTATTTAGATTTAAAGGATAAAAAAATTTTCCATTATAATAATTCATTATTTTTATTTATTTATTATAAATTCAAAGTTTTCAAATATTTTGACTTTTATATTAATTTTTTTTTAAATTAACTAATTTAATACACGAGTCTTACAACTAGTCTATATTATACATTTGTTAGCCCAAACATTTTTATCCGCATTTGTTACTATTTTTTAGATTTATTTTTTATTTAAATTTATTCCTTGGTAAGTCATCAATAAGTATTTTAAAATGTAATAGCTTAAAATGGATAAGATGCTAAATGCAAGAGTTGAACTCGTGACTTCTTCTTAAGGGGCGGGGCGTGTTAGCCGGTGAGCCAAGTGATCTCTTTATTATTGCATAAAAACCTATTAAATTGTGGCATACTATCATAATTCGAATCAACAAGTTCCTTATTAATATAATAAATATATTTTATCAAAGTACAATATCCTAATAAAAATTAATTTGAAGGTATTTGTTTTAATAAGAAACTATGAAAATACAAAGCTATAATAACGAAAAAAAGAACATTCAATGTTATTTTTTGCATTTAACCCTTAAAACTCTATTGACATCTCATTTATTTGGTTTCTCAACAAATATGTCATTAGAGATAGCCAATTGTTTCTTATATGAGTTACAACTTATTAACAATTTTAATTGACTCAAAGAATAGCATGTCCC